GAGGAAGACTGGCCCTGGGCTAACATCCGTGCCCATCTTCCTCCACTTTATATGGGACGCCGCCACAGCATGGCTTGACAAGCAGTGTGTCAGTGTGCCCCCGGGATCCGAACCCGGCCGCCAGCAGCGGAGCGCGTGCACTTAACTGCTATGCCACGGGGCAGCCCCAGTCTTCCTCTTTTTGCTGAGGAAGATGAGCCCTGAGCTAACAGCTGTGTCCATCTTCCTCTATTTTGTATGTGGGATGCTGCCACAGCATGGCTTGATGAGTGGTGTGTAGGTACACGTCCGGTATCCGAACCTGTGAACCCCAGGCCACGGAAGCAGAGCATGTGAACTTAACCACTATGCCACCAGGCTGGCCCCTCTTACTGACTCTTAAAGACCAAGCTATCAGATTTTTTTCAGTATTTTCATATTTTGTTATGACAACTCTGGCTCTAGGAATATGCAGGGAGAGAGGTCATGTCCCCGGCAGAATGGAGCAACTCTCACTCCCGCTCCCCACCTGAGATTGGAAGCACTCACACTGGTGGTGTCTTCTCCTGCAGAGCTCCTCATTTGCAGGAATGTGTTTAGCTATCCATCTTTTCCTTTGCTGTCCACAGGTTAACTGTGCTGGTAAGGAGGCAACTTCACAGGAGCTGCTAAGATGGGCATGAGGATCAAACTGCAAAGCACCAACCACCCCAACAACCTGCTGAAGGAACTCAACAAGTGCCGGCTCTCTGAGACCATGTGCGATGTCACCATCGTGGTGGGCAGCCGCTCCTTCCCGGCCCACAAAGCCGTGCTGGCCTGCGCGGCTGGCTACTTCCAGAACCTATTCTTGAATACTGGGCTTGATGCTGCCAGGACCTATGTGGTGGACTTCATTACCCCCGCCAACTTTGAGAAGATTCTGAGCTTTGTGTACACATCAGAGCTCTTCACGGACCTGATCAACGTTGGGGTCATCTACGAGGTAGCTGAGCGTCTGGGTATGGAGGACCTCCTCCGGGCCTGTCACTCCACCTTTCCTGACCTGGAGAGCACTGCCGTGGCCAAGCCCCTGACTGGCACCAGTGAGAGCCACTCGGGTAGCCTGAGTTGTAGCGCAGCAGAACCCACCCAGCCCCTTGGAGAACTCCGCGGTGGTGGGGAGCACTTTGGTCCTGATAGAAATTATGTGTTACCTAGTGATGCTGGAGGGAGCTATAAAGAGGAAGAGAGAAATCTTACCAGTGACACTAACCATAGCCTGCCTCTGCCACAGCAGCCACTGCCACCAAAGACAGAAGACCACGATGCCCCTGCTTCTTTCTCGTGTGTTCCTAGTATGGTGACGCAGCCAGTCCTAGGTGCTATCAGCATGGGCATCCAGACCAGCACGAGCTCCTGCCAGCCATACAAAGTTCAGAGCAACGGAGACTTCAGTAAAAACAGCTTCTTCACCTCTGACAATGCAATAGACATTACCACTGGGACCAACTCCTGTCTGAGCAATAGTGACCACTCCAAAGACCCAGGCTTTGGGCAGATGGATGAGCTCCAGCTGGAGGACCTGGGGGATGATGACTTGCAGTTTGAAGACCCCACCGAGGACATCGGCACAGCTGAAGAGGTGATTGAGTTGAGTGATGACAGCGAGGAAGAGCTGACTTTTGGAGAGAATGACAACCGAGAGAACAAGGCTATGCCCTGCCAGGTGTGCAAGAAAGTTCTAGAGCCCAACATTCAGCTGATCCGACAGCATGCTCGTGACCACGTTGACCTGCTGACAGGCAACTGCAAGGTCTGTGAGACCCACTTCCAGGACCGAAATTCCCGGGTGACCCACGTTCTGTCCCACATTGGTATTTTCCTCTTCTCCTGCGACATGTGTGAAACTAAGTTCTTTACCCAGTGGCAGCTGACCCTCCACCGGCGGGATGGAATATTTGAGAACAACATCATTGTCCACCCCAATGATCCCCTGCCTGGGAAGTTGGGTCTCTTTTCAGGGACAGCCTCTGCAGAGTTGAAGTGTGCTGCCTGTGGAAAGGCATTGGCCAAAGATTTCCACATAGTCCGGGGCCACATCCTTGACCATCTAAACTTGAAGGGCCAGGCCTGCAGTGTCTGCGACCAGCGCCACCTCAACCTCTGCAGCCTCATGTGGCACACGCTCTCCCATCTTGGCATTTCAGTCTTCTCCTGCTCTGTCTGTGCGAATAGCTTTGTGGACTGGCACCTCCTGGAGAAGCACATGGCTGTGCACCAAAGCTTGGAAGAGGCCCTCTTCCGCTGCCACTTGTGCAGCCAGAGCTTCAAGTCGGAGGCTGCCTATCGCTACCACGTCAGCCAGCACAAATGCAACAGTGGGCTTGACGCACGGCCTGGTTTTGGGCTCCAGTACCCAGCTCTCCAGAAACGGAAGCTCCCGGCAGAGGAGTACCTGGGTGAGGAGCTGGCTCTGCAGGGCCAGTCTGGGAACAGCAAGTACAGCTGCAAGGTCTGTGGCAAAAGGTTTGCCCACACAAGCGAGTTCAACTACCACCGGCGGATCCACACGGGCGAGAAGCCATACCAGTGTAAGGTGTGCCACAAGTTCTTCCGAGGCCGCTCGACCATCAAGTGCCACCTGAAGACACACTCGGGGGCCCTTATGTACCGCTGCACGGTCTGCGGCCACTACAGCTCCACCCTGAACCTCATGAGCAAGCACGTTGGCGTGCACAAGGGCAGCCTCCCGCCCGACTTCACCATCGAGCAGACCTTCATGTACATTATCCATTCCAAAGAGGCCGAGAAGAACCCAGACAGCTGACTGGGTCCCAGCAGAGCCGGGGGAGCTCCCGGGCGGCAGCCGGGACCTTGGTTTTCTAATGGCTGTTGGTCCCACCCCAGCTGAAGTTACAATTTTGCCTTGCTAGGAATTCTGTTCTGTTTTGTGTTTAAAGAAGAAAAAAGAAGAAATAGCACATGAGCTGTTACTGTTTTTGAGAAGCAACGGCCCTATCATGTTTACCTCCTTACCTGTTCTTGCCCATGCAGGGCTGTGTTTTTGATTCTTTTGAGGCTGGTTTGGGGAATCTCGTCAGGCAGGGGGTGTCCACTAGATCCCCTTCTCCAGCCTCTCAAGTTTTAGTTTACTGATAGGTTTTATGCTGCTAAGAACCCAACCAATAGCCTCACTGAATAGAGGAGGTGGAGAGAGGTTTTTACTGTGGGTGTTATACTGCCAGACCTCCAACTGGGACACCTGCGGTGAGAGGGATTTGGGGAATGTGGTCATTCAGAGAAGACTAGTCGGCAGGGCAGCTCACCTCAGGTACCAGTCCCTGCCCCCAGCAGGGAAAAGGCGTCGGGGATGGAGGTGCCTGCTGGTTCCGTGACTCTAATCGGCTGAGTGGACAGTAGAATCTTTTGGCAGCTAGATCCAAACTGGGGACAAAGCTTTCTATTTAGGTCAGGAAGCTTTGGGATGAATCCTCACCAGCCAGAAGAGGTGTCTTGCAGTGCTGCCAGAAGTGGCAGCCTGGACGGACAGGAAGGGAGGTTTCTCTTTTCTCCTTAATTCCAAAGAAACGCAATTTTATGGAGTGATAGCCCAGGACGTCAGGCCTTCCCTGTGGGGCAGAGAGGACGGGGAGCCACTTTGATATAGTCATCTGTCCTCTGGCCACCTCATGGACCTTGAGTTCCCTGGTGGAGAGGTGGGGGTGTTGCTGACAGTAGCAGCCTTGCCTTAATTTATATCCAGTCTCCCACCTAGAAGTCTAGTCTAGGTGAGAAGAGCCCATGAGATGGTGCAGTGGTGGACTGTGAGCCCTTCAGGATTAAAGGGACCCCCTGAGTAGCTGGTGGTGTGTAGCGGGATGTGCGTTCTGTCTGTCCCAGTCAGATAATCTGCTGTTGACTTTGTGTTAACTGGGCAGGAGCTTTGGCAGCTCACCTTTGACCTGCTGGAATTTTTCCTGATCTGTCATTGCATCGCCACCAGGGAGCGCGATTGGATGGCAGCTGGTTCAGGCCTTCCCTAGGTGGCCGGGGAATGAGTCTGCCCAGTCCAGGGGGCTGGTCGGCTCCGTTCTTAGTTGGCTTTTTAGAAGGTCTTGCCCAAAGAAGGCTTGAGGGAGAGGGCCCTGGGCTCTCGCATACTCACAAGGTGGCACCTCAGTCACTCATACTACCTCACCCTGCTCAGGCGAGCTCTGGGAGCCACAGCCTCTGCCCTGACACTGCCCCTGGTGGGACTCAGCAGCCCCCTGGGCTGTTTCACAAACAAGTGGTTTTGATTAACTCGCAAAGCCTTTTTGGACATTAATATTTATTTATTTTTGTTGTTGTATACATATTACTCAGCATCTTGTTTGGATAAGAGACTTTAGGAAAGTGAGTTTCTCCCCAGCAAGTAGCCATATTCCAGGGGGCAGTCCTGGCCAGAGACTTGGGAAACGGGTTAGAACTAGGGGAGACCGTGTCAAGCCTTGAAACAAGCAAATTCTCTTCTTTCTCTCCAGATTTGCTCTTGCAGAATAAACCCAGGGAACTCTTTAGGTAACGGATGTAAGTTCTAGAAAGTTGAGGCTTGTTAAATTCCTAGGCCTTTCATCCCCCTTCCTTCCTGTGATTGAGTAGACTGGGGACCGGGTTGAGGGGATCAGGTCACATGAAGGACCTTTTTGCATGTTTTCTCATCCTTCCTAACCTTGGAAAGCTGTGTTATGACCTACAGGCAGAACAGAGCTCCGCCCCAGTGGGCCTGCTGCCTCTCCCAGCTCAAAATTGGTAAAGCCTCCGAGGGAATGCACGGCTCTCTGGTCGGGTGACCATTACATGAAGGGACTTGTACAAGTGGCTCCCTTTCACCATCTAAACCCAACTTGTGGAATGTTCCCTCGGGACATTCCTGTCAGGAAAGCAGTGCTGAGACTTTCCTGCCCTGACTGGCCCACACTGACCCTTAGAAATTTAAGAAGGAAAATGTGTGGAAGACTATGGTCTGCTAAGCTGTTGAAGCCTGAGTGACCCCTCGCAGACTTGGTGAGGGCTGCCTTTTGAGTGGCTGGGTTTGAGAGAGAACCCAGCCAGGTAGCTGAGAATGGATCAGGATGCTGGAGAAACCCTTTTCCTTAACAGAGGGCCTCAAGGATGCTGGGTAGTCTGTATACTTAACCTGAAACTGTGAAGTTTTCCCTTTTTGCCAGTAAACCAAAAAGCAAATCCTTGAAACTGCCCCTGAAACACTAAACAAGAAACTGCACCCCCTGATCCTCCTGAGGCCAAGGGGTTGGTCAGGGTGGCTGGTTGCAGTCAGACTGTGGCAGGGTCAGTAGCTCATGAGGCTCACTGACTGAACCCTGTTCCTCCGTGTTTCCCTCATGTTCACATGTGGCCCTCCCTCTGTGTGGGGTCAGGTTTGCTGCCTCTGCCTCCAGCTCACCCTTTTCCCAACTTTTACTTGAAACACTGCTGGGGCAAAGGGCCCTCTAGGAGACCTGGTGGAGGGCATTCATTTCGTTTGGAGTTGTTTATTTTCCAGCCTTCTGTTCATTTGATTTTGTTGCCCCTGCGGCCCTGGAGCCCAGTTGAGCAGTCTCCTGCTGTATTGTTCCCAGGTTCTGTTTGACCTTTGATGTCTTTTCTTCTCCTTTTTCTTATTCTGTACTCAGGACTGGCTACACAATATGCAGAGCCCTTTCTTTAAAAATAATTAAGAATTTCAAGATGGCGACTGTAGAGCATTAAACCAAGCACGAGGCCATTCCCTGAGGGAATTGGCCATAACACAGGCCATTCCCTGTGTTTCCTGAGGGAAAAGGGTAATACTTTCTGGCACGCTGGTTTAAACAGCAGAGGCTGCTTGTGGCCAGAGGAGGGAGGCTGTCCCGATGCTCCTGTGACCCATTGATGGCTCACTGATGCCACAGCACTCGCTGCGAAGCTCTGCTCTACGCTAGTATTTGGTCCTAAATTTTAAGACTCGGTTGAGTCTATAGTTCATGGCTAGTTGGGAAGAAAGGAGGTAGGGGTCTAGCCCAGGTGACCCCCAGGAACCAGGTAATGGGTAAAAGTTCTTTTTGACTTTCTTCTCTTCTGATCTATCAGCACCCTTTTGTCTCCACAGCAAGCCTTTGGGCTTAAATACCTTCTCCCCAGTCAGGTTTTGCTACTGATGAATTTTTTTCCTTCTCTGGCCTCCTGCTGTGCCCTATTCCCAAGACTACTCAACTTTGGAAATGAATTTCAATCCCTTTATAGATGGTCACTGACTTTGTTGGCATGGAGTGGGCTGTGTGGAGAAGTCTGCCCCTCTGTGAGGCCCCACACATCCTTTGTCCTAAATCCTGCACTCAATGAGTCAGGAAGCAGGGTACAGCATTCTTTTCAATGTGATACTCATCATAAACTTAACATCAGAATGAAAATGAACCTTTTGATTTCGCTGTTTCTTTAACACCCTTCCCCTGTCCAGTCCACCCTCCCCTCCCACCTCTACTAGCTAAAGTCTCTTATGAAACCAAGAAGAGTTGTTGACGTCTTACTCCTTCCATTAAATTAATGAGTACTGACCTCCTAATATTTAAGTGTTTACTATCTATTGCTGTAAAGTTTTGTATATTTTGTAAACTTTTTTTCCCAAATAGTAGATGTCTAAAATCGTTGTACATCTGATTCTTTTATATTCCATTGTTCGGCACAAAGTGTGGTTTTTATTTAGAATAAAAAAAGGACATTTGAAATGGGAGTATTTTGTTTTTACTGTGATTGTGCTCATCCCTCGAGTTCAGAGTGTCTGGGCCATCCCCTTTCGAGGGGCAGTGTTCTCCCAGCAGATGCCAGAATTCTTTCAGGTAACACATTTTCCTTTCCTGGAGCTGGAATTCCCCGGGGTTAACTTGTTTTTAGTGGGAAATAAGTCAGTGACCCAACCTTTTCAGGGGAGACATCCCTGAGGCAGTCTGTAGGCCCAGAGAGAGCAGTGGGACTCTGCTAGTGTCTAGTGGGACTAGACATCTGGCCACAAATTGTCTTACCAATGCCGTTTAATTGTGACATGGTGTGTTGGACTGGAGAGAAGCAGATTCAAACAGAGAGGAGGTGGATGTTTGACATAATTTCATGAGGTTAATGACAAATGTACCCCCACAGAGAAGGAGACAGACCTCTAGAAATCAGGGTGTGATTTGATCTCTGAGCACATTGCCTGGGCCCAGCCCCCACAGTGCTCAGTCAGTGCTGAGCGAGGCAGTCGTGCTGCAGTCAGCACAGCCAGTTCCCTCTCCTCCCAAGGCCCTAAGGAAGTATCTGTGCCGCCAGAGCGATAACAGGTCGCCAGCGTGAAATCTGTGAGGCGAGCAGGCTCTTGAGGAAGTGGCCTCTGAGGAAACCTGGGATGAGCCAGAGATGTAAAACTGGGTTTCCTTTAGGAAACTTCTGGAGCCCGAGTCAGAGGAGGCAGTGGTAATGGGCTTCAGATCTTGGCTTGGTTTTTAGTTGGGCACAAGGAAGGAAAGTCTTTTTTTTGTGTGTGAGGAAGATCAGCCCTGAGCTAACATCCGTGCTAATCCTCCTCTTTTTGCTGAGGAAGACCGGCTCTGAGCTAACATCTATTGCCAATCCTCCTCCTTTTTTTCCCCAAAGCCCCAGTAGATAGTTGTATGTCGTAGTTGCACATCTTTCTAGTTGCTGTATGTGGGACGTGGCCTCAGCATGGCCGGAGAAGCGGTGCGTTGGTGCGCACCCGGGATCCGAACCCCGGCTGCCAGTAGCAGAGCGCGCGCACTTAACCCCTAAGCCACGGGGCCGGCCCCTGGAAGGAAAGTCTTTTTAATGCATTGTCTGCATTGTTGGTTAAGCCCTTACTGCAACCCCAAGTTAGACCTGGTCTCTCCTGGTTGAAAAGCCCTCATCTCTGTGCCACTGAGCAGCTGTTTGTAGCTTAAGCTCTTTTCAGGTTTGGGCCCAGTGAGCAGGGGGCCTGTAGATACAGATTTCCTCCTTGCTCCTGACAAACAGGTACAGACACAGTTGGAGCACATGTTTAATGCATCTGTGGAATGAATACAGTTCTAGATTCTAAGAGCAGAGGAGACAGCGCCCAGGTCGGTGCGTGGTTACTCCCAAGTTAAACATTCCAGACATACTGAGCCCTTGAGCAGGACAGAGGCCCTCAGTAGCTATGTCCACAAGCCCTTCCCTCTCCACGGGCAGGATTAATTGGCCAAGGACTTGGAACTGCTGGACTGGGACCTGTTCTTGGGCTTTTACTTCAGTCAGGGGTCTTCATGGACATGGTCCTAGTTTCCCAAACATAAATGAGCCTTTTTCAGAAGACCTACTTGTTAACAAGAGGACTTCTTTTCCTATCTATAGGACAAGTGTTAATAGAAGTAAGTTGCTGGACAGGAAAATTATGGAAAGATTTGGCAGGGGAGAAAGAAGTGTAAGGATGAGAGCTGACTTAGTTCTCGCAGGGGTCAGAGCATCTGTCAGTGCCTGCTGCTGGCTGTCCCCAGGTCTCCCAGAATGGATGTCCCTTGATATTTTCCTATGATCTGGGGAGAAAGGGAGGGACAGGGGGTGGATTTCTGATAGCATCTCTTCCTAGAAGTCTGGAAATGTCCTAGATCCAAAGCTGGGAGGAGATGGGCTCTGGGACAGCGCCTCTGCTCTGGGGGGAGGGGAGCAGGGTGGACGAAAGGGAGAATGTCAGGGAGGAAATGGAGCCGTTTCCTGGATGGGGGGTGGGGAACCATCCTACCGACCCAGCTGCAGGGTGCCTGTCTCAGACCTTGGCCTGCTGTCCCCACCCCGTCCATTTATCATATCTCTCGCCAATGCTGGGAAACGTCCAGCTGAGGCCTCCTGGTTCCTTGGCCTCTGGCCTCTTTCCCCACAGCCTGCGTGATGTGTAGGGAGATCAACAAGCACACAGACGTCAAAGGAAAGTTTTGTGAGGTCCCGTGGAGCTTGCTCTTTCTGGCCAGGGCGATTTCTGAAATGAGAGCGTCTAGTTTCTGCTGGGCATCTCTTTAGCCTTAGCTCCCTTCCCGATCCCAGCTGGAAGGGCAGGTTTTTCAGAGATCCAGAGTCATGGCTGTCTCTTTTATTTATTTCACCTTTTTTCCTCTGTGTCTCCCTTAGAGACAATGACTGAGACAAATAGTGCACCCCCAAAGACCTGTTCTCTGTCCCTCCCTGCCCCTGCTCTCCCTCCCCCCCCCCCCGATATTTTAAGACATATTCAAAATGGACCACGAGTGCTCTGACCCTCACCCTCCAGATCTCTCACCTACCCCTCCTGCTTTCTAGTTCACTGATGGAGGAGACTGGACTCTGCCTCAGCTGGCTCTAAGAGATGGAGGAGCAGAGATGGGTGAGGTATTCGGTGCCTGGGCATTCAGGCTTGGGTGGCCTGCTGCAGCGGGCTGGATGTCCTCCTTGGTGATGACGATGGAGTGCTGAGTGGAGGAGGAGGAAGAGGAAGCATGTCTGCCCTCCCTGGCCTGGACCTTGGGAAGGTAATGGACCACAGCGTTCAGCAGCCGGCCCCGGAAGCTCGGGCTGAGAAAGTTGTAAAGGATGGGGTTGACGACGCAGTGGAGCATGGAGAAGCAGTCAATGATGTCGTAGAAGAAGTAGAGCAGGTGGGTCAGGTAGCAGTGGAGGGAGACGTGGGTCCCATGCAGGGTGAGCAGCAGCAGGCTCACATGGTAGGGCAGCCAGCAGATGACAAAGACTGCTATGTAGGCAGACACCAGCAGGCAGTGGCGCCGGCCCTCCGGCCATCCTGCCTGCTGAAGCCGGCAGGCCGTCAGCACGTTGAAGACTGCGATGACAGGGAAGGGCAGCAGGAAGCCCAGGATGGTGGTGGACAGGGCCACTGCCAGGGCCCACGTGCTGTATGTTTCAAAGGGCGCCAGGAAGAGGCACATGGGCTCAGAGCTCTCCACCAGCTGGATGTGGACCACCTCGGGCAGTGGGATGATAGCCGAGAGGATCCAGACGCCTGCACACACGGCCCGCCGCACTTTGTGCTGGTGGCGCTGCCAGGAGGGAGAGGCGTTGGTGAGGGTGACGTAGCGGTCGACGCTGAGGCACACCAGGAAGAAGATGCTGCTGTACATGTTGGTAAAGTAGAAGTAGTGAGTGAAGCGGCAGGAGAAGCTGCCCCAGAGCCATGTGTAGTCCAGCATGACCTCCAGCATCCACACGGGCAGAGACAGGACGACGCCCAGGTCCGCTATGGCCATGTTGAGGATGTAGAGGCTCAGCAGCCCCGCCCGGTCCGAGCAGCGCCAGTTGACACATATCACCAGGATGTTCTCCACCAGCCCGACCACGAAGATGGCCAGGTAGAGGACGAAGAGGACCACTTGCTTGGTGTTCTCGTTGAGCTCCATCCGGCACTCCGGCAGAGTGTGGTTGAAGAAGTAGAGCAGGTCGTTCCAGTTGTGGATCTCTTCAGGGTCACTGGTGGGCGCTGCGGTGAAGCCCTCGGAGGGGCCCGGCCCCACGCTGGTCGTGACTGACATCAGGACCAGCAAACTCCTAAAAGGGAGAAGTGAGGGTTGGAAGAGAAAGGAGACCTCGAAAGCAGCCTTATGTCCCCAAGGCAGTGGGCCATGGGGGCCAGGAGGCTTGGGGGAAAGATTCTGGGTCTGAAGAGGCAAGAAAGGGAAGCTTAGCACTCAAACTGTGAATAAATAGTAAACAACTCACTTGTCAACTTTGAACCAAGAGCAGAGTTGCTGTGTTAAGCAGCCTCAGTGATGGGAGAGACCAGAACTATTGGTTCCCACCCAGATTTCTTCCCAGCCTGGCCAGTCCCACTCTATCTCCAGCCCCAGGTGGGCGCCAACCTTCACTCCTCTCCTGCCACTTCACCCCTTGGCCCTTTCACACGGGCGTCCTCAGGGGCTCTTGCTCTGTCTTGCTGTTTGGGCAGTGGATGTGAACACACACACCCCTCTCTATTTCACCCCTGGGGACATCTGTGGAACATGCAGGAAAGGCAGTTGTCTCCAAGCCCCGAGTCCCTTCTTCCCTGAGAGGGAACAACACTCACCTGAGTTTCTGTTGGGAGCACCTCCGGTCCTGGAGGGCCAGTGGGTCCGGACTGTTGGGGAGCTGCGAGGAGGCTGGAGGGACTGGGGCTGTGGGCCCGGCCTGGCTGTGGGCTTCGGGGCCGCCCTTCTCATCCGGGAAGCAGTATCACTGGCTGAGGCTCTGCGGGAGAGGGTCGGGGTTTTTCCTGCCTTCCCCCAATCCAGTTAGAAGGGAAGTCACGGCAAAGGCCCGCTGAGCCGGTCAGGAGTCAGGCTGTGAGCATTGAAACCCAGACTCCTCCCTCTCTAGCTGTGCGAATCTACGTCTTTGAGCCTCAGTTCTCTCCTGTGCAAAATGCAAAATGGGACAGCAATGGTGTTTACTAAAGGGTGTTGTGAGAATGAAATGAGCCATCAAGGTGAAGTCTTAGCACAGGGCCAGCCTCTGGTAAACGCTTCACAGAAGTCTGTGTTTTCCGCCCTCTAAATCTGCCTGGAACCCCACTCTCCCCTGTCCACCTTGATTCCTGCTGAAGCAGAACTGGATGGGGGTGGGAGGGCTAAAATAAATCTGAAAATCAGTCAGACTTGTAACTACTCTGGCCCTTCCCCTGCTGGCTCTGCCATTCTGCCCAGTCTTCATTTTGCGATCTGAGGGGAGGATCTGGGGGGAGAGGAAAGACTCGATGGGGGGTGAAAGGGCACGAAGGGGGCTGTGTCGAGATTCAGGGAGACACCTGGATGGGGAGAGGAGAACTGCATCCCCCCCCCCCCACCGCTCTGTACTTCTCCTCGTGAAGTGTGGTTGTGAAGTGTGGCCGAGTGGGGCAGAGAGAGAGAGAGAGAGAGAGAGAGAGAGAGTCACCCTGCTGTTCTCTCCCTCCCAGCCATAGGGTGAGGCTCGGAGCCCATGGATTTGTGTTGTTGGTGAATATCCTGTGTCAGCAGACCTTCTTGCTTCTCAGAGCACTTTCACTCAGTTAATCATTTGATCCCCGAGGTCCTCTTGTGAGGAGGAAGGATGGGCTTCCTTATCCTCTGTGAGGCCCAGAGAGGTTGCCTGTCTCACACAAACCACACTGCACAGATGGCAGAGCTCCCTGGAGCTGGGCCCATGTCTTGTGGGCTGTAGGGCTGAAGTTGTGTTGGCTGGAGAGGATAAGGTATATATATTTAATTGAGGTGAACTTCCCGAAACAATATTAACCAGTTTAAAGGGTACAATTCAGTGGCATTTAGTGCATTCACATTGTTGTGCAAGCACTCCCTTTATCTAGCTCTAAAACATTTTCATCACCCCAAAAGGAAACCCCACACCCATTAAGCACTTGCTCCCTATTCCCTTCTTCCTCCAGCCCCTGACAACCATCATTCTGCTTTCTGTCTCTGTGGATTTACTTATTATGGATATTTAATGTAAATGGAATCATACAACGTGTGACCTTTGTGTCTGTTTTTTTTTCACTTGTAATATTTTTGAGGTTCATCTGCAGTGTAGCATGTATCTGTACTTTATTCCTTTTTATGGCTGAGTAATATTCCATTGCATGGATCTACCACATTTTGTTTATCCATTCAAGGAGGAGATTTTTTTTTAAAGTTAGCTAATTAATTTTTTTATTGTGGTAAAATGAACAACAAATTTACCATTTTAGTTATTTTTAAGTATACAGCTCGGTAGCATTAAATACATTCACATTGTTGTGCAACCATCACCACCAACCACCACCATGGGAAGGAATATTTTTAATTTTGCAGTTTTCTTAAAGTCTCCTGTAGAAAAACTGTTTCTCTACTCACAGCATTTCTGAACCCTACATCAAATGTGTAGGGTTTTTTGCCCCCCATACCAACCAATTTTCCAACTCTCTGGACACCAACTGGCTACACTATAATTTAATTCAATTCTGACACCAACCACCTGGAGTTATTAGTGTCAGACTCCACAGGTTTAAGGTCTCAGTTCCTCATTTTATTTTATTTTTTTGGTGTGGAAGATTGGCCCTGAGCTAACATCTGTTGCCAATCTTCCTCCTTTCGCTGAGGAAGATTAGCCCTGAGTTAACATCTGTTCCAATTTCCTTCATTTTGTATGTGGGACGCTGCCACAGCGTGGCTTGATGAACGGTGTGTAGGTCCGTGCCTAGGATCCAAACCTGCAAACCCTGGACTGCCGAAGCGGAGCGTGTGAACTTAACCACTACGCCACCGGGCCAGCCCCTATATTGTCCTCATTTTAGATGCCAGTCACAAGCAGTGGGTCCCCAGGATGCCCGCACTTCTGTCCAACATGGCTACAAATTTGGGGGTTCCCACGACTCCCCCTCAGTTTTGATAATTTGCTGGAATGGCTCACAAAACTCAGGGAAATATTTACTTACCTTTACTGTTTTATTATAAAGGATACAAATGAATAGCCAGATGAAGAAGTACCTACGATGAGATCAGGAAGGGTCCTGAGCTTCTGCCCCAGTTGAGGTGCACCACCCTCCTGGCATGTGGATGCGTTCACCAACCCGGAAGCACTCTGAACCTCATAGTTTAGGGATTTTTATGGAGGCTTCATCATGTAGGCATGCTTGATTATTAATCTCCAGTCCCTCTCCTCTTCCCAGAGGATGTGGGGTGAGGCTGAAAGTTCCAAGCTTCTAATCAAGACTTGGTCTTTCTGGTGATGAGCCTGCATCCCGAAGCTATCCAGGAGCCCACCGAGAGTCACCCCATTAGAACACAAGATGCTTCTTTCACCCAGGAGATTCCAAGGGATTTAGGAGCTCAGCGTAAGATGCTCCTATCACCCCATTACTCAGGAAATTACAAGGGTTTTAGGAACTCTGTGTCAGGAACCTGAGGCAGAGACCAAATATATATTTCCCATTATGTCACAGGTCCACTCACACGTCAGACCACTCCTAGATCAAGAAATCTGTCATGATGAGTTATGACAAGGTAAAATGTAGTTAACTTTGATTTTTCAGACACTTCTATTCTCTCTATCTTTAGGATCTCAGTTGCTATGTCATGGATGTCTTTTTTCAGTAAGCAGCCTTCTGGGAATTTTCGCTTCCTTCTCTATGCCTTTGACTCATGCAGATGGAGGCTCTGCTAGATCAAGCACCCTCCAGGAAGACCCTGGCTCTGGTCTCTGTTGTCTCCACATGGACCACGTATTCTGTTCCATGGCCATTTCCATTCCTCCCAAGACTGCATTTTAGTGGCGCACGTCTCCTGGGTCTCTGAATCTTCCACCCCAGGACCTTTTCCCTCCCATATGGAGATGTCAACCCCTGCAGCCTCACCTGCACCTTCTCCCCACCCCCCAACCCCTCACATCACCCAATGTGTATTTGCAGCAAGAGGAAGTGATGGTAATTGCTTCTGGCAGAGGCGCAGAGGGAAGCTGCTCCCTCAGGAAGAAATAACTGAGAGCTTGGCAGTTTTCATGTGGGGGATTTTCTCTGAAGGGAGGAGGGAGGCAGCTGGAAAGAGAGAGACTGGGAGGAAGGGAAAGAGGGAGGGACAGGGGCTCAGGCTCCTTGCCAACCGGGCAAGAGGAGGGGGGCACACAGCTTTGCTGCAAGCAACGGGAGCAGCAGCAGCAAAACAATTCCTGGAAATTGACTCTTTCTGCTTCCTCCTCCTCCTATTTTTTTTTTTTTTTCAAAAAAGACAGTGTAGATAAGACATTGTAATCAATAATCAGAAAGGAAGGAAGGTACCAGAGAGGAGTTATTAGGAGGCGCAGATAAAGGCAGGCAGCTTCCCGGGGTCTGGTGGGGGTCAAGGGCTTATGCCTGGACCCTGGAGGAGGAAGGGGCGGGCAGGCCGTCCCGAGAAACCACCCACTTGCCTGGCCTGTGTGGCTGAAGACACTATTTTGTGCAGTGAGGGCAGGTGGATTGCAGATAGGTCAGGGATGAAGAGTTTGGCAATAATTGCACTCCTGTCCCCAGCCTGAGCTTCCAGAAGGTCACTGAGTGAGGAAGCCAAGGCCAGCCACAGAAGTCACTCTACCCTCCTGCTATGGCTTCCCCATGCCAGGGAAGCAGCCTTGTCTTCCCAGCAGCACCAGATAAGGGGTTCACCAGGCTCCCCAAAGAAGGATGTGACCCTGTCTTGACCCTGCTCAGCTTTTTCCTGCTCACTCACTTTTCACCAAGACACAATGGAGATGACACTAGTTTGGGGACCAGACCTGGCTTTGACACCTTGCTCCATCACTTAGTGGCTGTGTGATTTGGGCAAGTCACTTTACCTTTCTGAGTCTCACTTTCTTTATAAGTGAATGAGGTTAATGGTGCTCCCTTCACAGGGTTATTGTACAGGATTCATGAGATAATAAATGTGAGGTGCTTGGCATAAGCCCTTTTCCACTTCTTGGGGATGAGGAAGAAGCGACTCCTTCTTGTGGAATTGACCTTGAGTTACCTCTCCCTAGTCCTACCACCACCAGGCATTTCTTTCTCTGAATTGGATCAACACCAATTCCTTCTTTTATTTAGTTGTCTGGCATCATGTTTCTGACATAGAAGGTCAAGACCATCCCCAATGCCTCTATGAATTACCGC